GGTGGGGAGGGGGAGGGGAGGGGGCTGGGAGTCCCAAGGTGCTCCCTCTTCGCGCTCTCCCGCGTGGAGGGGTGCGGGGAGGTGGACAGAGGCCCTGTGCGGGAGAGGCACGGCCAGCCCCCGTGGCCGGGAAACAAGAGCAGCTTTGTAGCACTGTGAACAATGGGTGCGGGCGCTGGAGCCAGCGCCGTCACATCCCAGGGCGGGGGCCTGCGCAGCGCGGGGCTGGGAGCTGTGAGGGCGTCGGGGCGTCCGCCGCCCCGCTCCAGGCCTGGCGCCCTCCGCGGAGGGACTCAGTGTGTTGCGGGGGGAGAGGGAGGGGGCCCGTATTCAGGCCCCACAATGGAGCTCTGTGTGCCGGCAACCGAGGGGCGGGGGCGCCCGTTGGGCCCACATTCCCTCGCTTCCCTCCCAGCCGTCCAGAAGCTTGGGTACTGGGGGTGGGGGGAGACTGGGAGCTCCAGGCTTGGGGTCCCCCAGGAGCTAGTGGCTCCGTGGAACCCCCAGGAGGCGGGGAAGGGGACGGCTGCATCCTGAAGGGACAGGTGCTGAGGACCCCGGATACTTGGGGAAAGGATGGAGGCCCTGGGTGTGGGCTGGCAGTCACTAGGGGGGAGGACTTCCCGTCCTGGGGCTGGGCATGGCAGGGTTTCACTCCGGGGAGGTGCGAGTTAAATCTGGGGGCCTGCTCCCCTCCACCTCTCCACCCACCATTAGCATCACAATGACGTCCCTGGGCCGGGGGAGTGAGACCTTCCCGTTACCTTGGCAACTGGTGGGGGCCAGGCTGGAGATGTTCCTTTCCCACGATGGGCTGGACCAATGGGATGGGGTGGGAGATGGGATTGGGTGTGTGAGGAGGTGGGGGGGGGTGGTGGCCCCCAGGGTCCCAGGACCGGTTGTGATTTCCCTTCCCTCCTCCTCTTAGCACTGGCATTGGCATCGGTTTCTATGGCAACAGCGAGACCAGTGATGGGGTGTCCCAGCTCAGCTCTGCACTGCTGCATGCCAACCACACACTCACTGCCATTGACCACCTGGTGAGGGGCCAGGCACTGGCCAGACCCCAGACCCACACCCAGACTGGTTCCCCACACCTGGGCAAAGGGCCCCCTCCCACGGAAACAGGATCTAAACTCAGAGCCAAGACCCCAGACTCAGAATGTCAGGTTCCAACATGCAGATCTCAGACTGTATGCCCAACCCCCAACCCTGACTACAGATTAGGGCCTCACACATGGCGCCATCAGAACCTTAGCCCAGATCTGGGCTTCCAGACTAAATCACACGCAGCCCCAGCCTTGGACTTCAGCTTACAGCCCAAACCTTTCAGAGACCAAACACCAAAACCCAGCCCCTGCCCTCAGGTCAGATCCAGGACGGGAGACCTGATCCTTGGCCCAGGTGCAAGGTTAAAGACCTCAGCGCTCAGACCCAGGACTCAGACGAGAAGCCTCACTCTCATCCCCAGCCCCAGGATGCCAGACTCGGAGCTGAGACCCAGCCTGACCTCAGACCTTAGATTTCATGTCCGGTTGCAACCCTGGAACCCAGACGTGAGACCCCAGACTCAGGAAGGCAGATGCCAGGGTCAGACCTAGGATCCCAGACTTAACCTCAGTCCTGGGGCTCAAGCCACTGACCTCTCCGAGCTCCTGACAGAAGCCACAGAACTGCATGAGCTGGACCGCAGAGCCCCTTCCTTCCCTTCCTCAATCCTCAGACGCCCTAGCGCCCAGATCTCAGCTACCCGCCCCTGCTCACTCTTACGTCGCCCTCCCCCCGCCCTGTCGCCCAACCCCTGGCCGCCCCAGAGAACGCCCTCCCCCGACTCCAGGCCCACCCCTGTGCGCAGGTGTTGGAGATGATGGAGAGGTTGGATGAGGCCGTGAGGACAGAGCTGACCACTCTGGAGGAGGTGCTGACGCAGCGCACGGAGCTGGTGGCGGCCACCCGGGGGGCTCGGCGGCAGGCGGAAGCCGTGGCCCAGCAGCTCCAGGGGCTGGCCTTCTGGCAGGGAGTGCCCCTGAGCCCCCTGCAAGTAGCTGAAGATGTGTCCTTTGTGGAGGAGTACAGGTAGGTGACCGCTCTTTCTGCTCCGTGTGGCAGGGAACCCCTGCCTGCGTGATTGTGCCCCTAGGGGACACATATCTGGGTGTCAGCTGGGGGAAGGGATGCTACTGGCACCAGGTGGGCAGAGACCAGAGATGCTACTGAATATCCTACAGTGCACAGGACAGCCCCCGACGGCAAAGGATTATCTGTGCTAAGTGTCAGTAAGTGACAGCAACCTTGGCGTAGAGAGACGGACCAAGTGATGCCGTGCCTGCTCAAGTATTCATCCATTTACTCCCTCCCTCAATGTATTCACTCCTTCATTCATTCACCCTTGGCTCAGCCACTCATCAAGTCACTCTTGCACTTCGCTCATTGAATCTCAGACTAACTAGTTCACTCCCTCGGTTGTCCATCTGACGCGTGTATCCATTCAACAGATATTTATTTACACCTTCTGGTGAGAGAGGTGTACCCAAATGGTCAGGACCATGAGCTCTAAAGCCAGACGGCCCTCCCTAACCACGTGATCTTAAATAAGTTACATACCCGCTCTGTGCCTCAGTGTTCCCATCTGGTACCCGTGGGAATAATGGGTAGCAATACCCTCATTGGATTGTGGAGGGTCTGTTGAGTCATTATCTGTCAAGTGCTTACAAGGGCGACCAGCACACGTTATATAGGTGTCTGTAAAATATGGGTTTTTTTTTAAGATAGAGCGATGAACAAAGCAGAGTGAATCCTGCCTGTCTTACGGTGGGCAGACCAATATGAAATGCATGAATGAGATATTGTCTGTAAGGTGGTGAGTGTTAAGAGCTCTGGAGAAAAGTAGGTGGGAGACGGGAACGGGATGGTCTGGGGACAGAGGATGGCAGTTTTGGGAGTGGGGGGGGTCATCTGGGAAGGCCACACTGAGAAGGTGACATTTGAAGGACATCTGGGACGGCCATCTTTCCCAGCAGCCAACGTGACAGAGTGTCCTCATTGCTTCGTCCGCGAGGAATTATTTCTTTTGTTCATCCGACAACTGAGGGTCCCAACCAGACATGGGAGCAGAGACAGGGAAGACCTGGTCATGGATTCTGTGCTCCAGTGGGGAGGCAGACCTGGGCTGAAGCAATCCGCAATGAGGAACCCCCCTGCAGGGCATCAGACAGGCCTGGGTCCCAGTGAGTTCAAGTTCTGGGTTCTGGCCAAGCTCAGGGGTGCAGGCCCTGGGCCTCAGCCCTGTTTCAGGGGGGCTGGGGGTAGCTGTGTGGACTACACCTGGGTGAGGCGGACCCATCATTAACAGGAAATAGCCTCTGGATTCACCAATACAAGAGTGCCTGGCACTTGGGAGTCCTTCAAGGAACATGGCCGGCTTCCTGGAAGGAAATCGGGGCCCCCAGCGGGAGAGCTTTGCTGGGGGAGTTCTTGGTGGCTTAGGGCAGAAGTGCTACCTGCCCCTGACGGAAGTGAAGTGAAGCTGGGACACACGAGCTGGCGGCGGGGACATGGGGACATGGGGAGCAAAGGCCTGGAGGTCAGCTGGAGCCACCGGGTCCAGCTTCTCCTTTCCGGGGACAGCCTGACCCTCCAGCAGTCCGGGAAAGAAGGGCACAGTGAGTCCCCACAGGGGTCTGAGCAGAGACTGCCACGGAGCGCGGTGACCGTTCCCTTGCCGCTCTGGCGACGTGGGGATCACTGAGAGCGATGCTATTTATTGAGCATCTCCTAAGCGCCAGGCGCTGTGCTGCGGTCTCATGTACATCTTCCTCTGCAACCAGAGTGAACTGATCGTTAGCTAATACTGAATTCTTAAATGACATTAAAAGTTTCCTGATTCGTGTTCAAGCTAATATTTGAGTGCGTCCATATTGGCGCTCTTCTCGGTGCTTTGTGTGTCTCCACTCCTTAGCCTCACGACAACCCTCGCAAGTAGGTGCTGCTGTTCTCCCCGAGTTACTGGCTGGGAAGCCGAGACACAGGAGGCAACGTTACTGAGACCAAGCTGCAGGCAGGCAGGAAGTGGAGGGGCTGGCATTGCGACCCAGGCCGTCTGCCTGCAGACACTGAGCCCTTGGGTCGTGCCCTGTGTTGCTGAGTGCATGCCTGGGAATGAGTCCCTCTGCCCTCCAGGCCAGGGTGGAGGGGCTGGGGCCCTGAGAGCGTGCCACTCACAGGGCTCACGCGTGGTTCGGTCAGCGTACAGTCCTGTGACCTGTGCTCTAAATGGCTACAGTGGCCGGCCTCCCAATGCACCCGTTTCACAGATGGGCCTGGCTGTGGCCTGGAGACTAGGCATCAGGGAGATCACGTGTCCAGGCAGAGCCGGGAGAACATGCAGGTGCTGTCATCCTCTGCCGAGTCCCGGTCTGGGAGCCTGGGCACGTGAAAGGCTGGATTTGCCGCTTCAGCCTCACCCCTGTCGCCCCCTCCCCAGGTGGCTGGCCTACGTTCTCCTGCTGCTCCTGGAGCTCCTGGTCTGCCTCTTCACCCTCCTGGGCCTGGCAAAGCAGAGCAAGTGGCTTGTGATTGTGTAAGTCTGGGTGGCTTCCTGGCAGTGGCACATGTCACTGAGATCCCACAGCACTCTTCCGAGAGGGGCCACGGTCCTTCCCAGGTTTCATTCCCTTGTCCCACGAACCTCCGTGGAGTTCCTGGGCTGGGCTGGGCTGGCACATAGAAATCAGGCTCAGAGCTGCCCAGGAAGGGGGCGGGCAGGAAACAGGCTGGGCTGTCCTCACAGCAAGAAGTGCACCAAAATCCTAGAAAAGCAATGATAGTGATGCTTGTGCTGAGGATTGGGGTGATCACTGACCCTCTCAGTTGCTGTGACAACCCTGTGAAGGAGGTGCCTGTCAGATGCCTATCTGGAAGATGAGGGCCCTGAGGCAGAAAGCTGTCTTGTGGTGTGGCGGAATTAAGGACCACACTCTTACTTGAAGGTTCATTCTGTATGCCCGATGCTCTTCTGGAACCCTCGCACTAACCCTATGAGGAGGCCTTTTCCTTCTCCCCATATGACAGAAAGGGAGACTGGTGCTCAGAGGGGTTAGGCCACTTGCCCAAGGCTGCACAGCCAGAAAGTGCTAGAGCTGGGATTCCACCTAGGCCAGCCTGTTCCACTTGGAGGAGCCTTTGTATCCTCCCTGGCCCTGAGGGGGGCCACGCTTGTGCCCGCCACCATTCCCACACTCCCCCCGGGGTGAGAGGTTCTGCCATCCCATCCAGGCCCCCCTGAAGCTTGAAGATGGTAAAGCACAGTGGGCAGGGCAGGTCTGGGGCTTGGGGCCAGGCCTTCAGTTTGGCTCCCTCCAGGTGCCCTTCTTTCTTGCTGACCACCCTCCAATGCTGATCCCCCTGCCGAACCCCATCCCCAGAGAAAACCTGGAAGGAGATTTCAGCCCTGGGGGCTGTCTCCACTCCTGGGAGGAGGAGTCTGGGCTGAGAGGGAGGCCGACCAAGCAATGGGTGAACCTGGGAGCAAGCTCCTGTGGAATTCAGAGCAGGGAGATGGGGCCCAGGGGTGGGCGGTCCGGAGCAAGGCGGGAGCAAGGCGGGAGCAGGCGTGGGCTGGATCCGGCCAGCCCCTCACCCCTATCCTCCCCCAGCAGGGCCAGATGTTCAGTTTGACGTCAGCAGCCACGGGTCCACACCTCTCCCCCAACAGCTTCTCTGCCCCTAGTTGTTATCCTCTTGGCTCCAGAGGTGGGTGGAGGGTAGGGCTGGGGCTGTGATGGGTTAGGGGTGGGGGGAGGGAAGAGACGAGGTGGGAGATTAAGAACCCCAGGACCCCCAAGTCCAATCCCTCCTCCCCACCGTAGGATGACCGTGATGAGTCTCCTGGTTCTTGTCCTGAGCTGGGGCTCCATGGGCCTGGAGGCAGCTACGGCTGTGGTGAGTGGGGCGGGAGAGGCCCTTGGGCTCCAAGACTTAAGGGTGCCAAAGGCCCCTAACTCCTGGATCCTGGAGCAGGATGGGAATAAATGCCTTAGGTCCTGAGAGGAAAGACTTGGGGGCCAGGAATGCAGGTTCTGAAGCTTCCAGCCAGTTTCCTAGGTCCTGAGGGACTGGACTTCGGGACACTTGGGTCTGAGGGAGGAGGGACTGGGGGTCTGGACTCCTGGGTCTGAGGGAGGGGGGGCTAGAGGGCACTCAGTTCTGTGGGAGTGTGGAATGGGGGCAGTTTCTGTTCTGAGCCCCCTTTCCTGCTGCCCCTCTCAGGGCCTCAGCGACTTCTGCTCCAGTCCGGACACCTACATCCTGAACCTGACCCGGGAGGAGACTGGCCTTGGCTCAGGTGATCGCATCTCCAGGCGCACGCCCTGGGTCCTCGGGCCTCTCTGCGCGGTCCTCCTGGGATGGGGTGAGGGTACGCAGCCGGCTGCCAGGCCCTGCCCAGTTCTGCAGAAGCTCTCGGCACCTTCCGTGGTGCGCTGGAACAGAGGGAGGGATAAAGATGATGGAGTCAGGAGAGAGGGGTCCTCAGGCTGGAGCTGAGGGATGGGAGGATTTGGCCACCTGGAGAAAATGCGGGGAGCACAGTTGAGTCAAGGGGAGGGTTGGCAGAAGCAGGGGCTCCCCGGGATTGTGTAGATCAGCATGTTTCTGGCTGTGGCTGGAGCAGAAGGGATTAGGGGCTGGGAGGGCTGCCAGTCTCAGAATGCGAGGTCATTGGGACCACAGGAGGGTCCGGAGCTGGGAGGGGTGGAAAGTGTGGCCTTGCCCCCTCCCGCCTTTCCCCAGGGAGGCCCCGGGGCTCAGGCTCACAGCCTCCCCGGTACTACGTTTTAAGCTGGACTCAAGGGGCTTCCCTTTGCCGCTTCAGACATCCTGAACTATTATTTCCTCTGCAACCAGGCCGTCTCCAACCCCTTTCAACAGGTTAGGGCTGCGGGCAAGGGAACCGGGTGGAGGAGGGTGCGGCTGGGGCCTAGACTTAGGGATCCTGGGGGAGGATGAAGGCGCCAAGTGGGCTGGGGGTGTCAACCGCTGGGTCCTCCTCCCTCCTTCTGGCTTCCCGCAGAGGCTGACTCTGTCCCAGCGCGCTCTGGCCAACATCCACTCCCAGCTGCAGGGGCTGGAGCGAGAAGCTGTCCCCCAGTTCCCTTCTGCTCAGGTCGGCGGGGCCGGGTGCTCCTTCTGCACCCCGACTCCCAGGGGAAAGAGGGGAGGGAACCTGGGTGTGTGGGCGGAGCCTTAGAAAAGGGGCGGCGGTGCGGTGGCTGTGGGCGGGGGTCCGCAGAAAGGGGCGGGCGGGGCGGAAGCTGTGGGTGGGGCCCTGGCTTTGTGAGCCCGCCGAAAGGGGCGGGGCCTGAAGAGATGGGCGGGGCCTGAAGAGTTCCTGAGGTAACAACCCCCTGCCACCGCAGAAGCCTCTGCTGTCCTTGGAGGAGACGCTGAATGTGACAGAAGGAAACTTCCACCAGCTGGTGGCACTGCTGCACTGTCGTGGCCTGCACAAGGTGACCCCTGTCGCCCTCCCCGAATTCTTCTCGCAGGGGAGCCTCTGCCTAGACCCAGAAACCTAGGAATATCCTTTCTGCTTCCTGTTCATTCCTCCAGCAAGTTCTGCTGGCCCTCTGGGCTCTGAGCACAGCTCACACTGTCACCGCTGCTCCCGGCCCCAGGGCCTCTTCCCTGTTCCCTGCTTGCCTGCCCCCATCTGTCCTCCGCACAGCAGCCAACAGCCCAGTGAGCCTTTTAAGCACAATCTGATCATCTTCCTGCGCTTAAAACCCGCAATTACCCCTGCAGGCGGATTAAGGTCCTGGCTTCTCGCCTGACCTCCGGGGCCTGTGTGGTTGGCCCTGGCCGCTTTTGGCCTCAGCCCTTTGCTTCCCCCTAGCCCGCACCCCTTCCCCCAGCAGCCTGGCGGGTCTCCCAGACAACAGTCCCCGACCTCCCATCGGCCGGGTTCCTTCCTGCTGGTGCCATCTTGCTGTCGGGACCCCAGGACTGCTTTCCAAACCCCCTCTCTCATTAGCTCATCGTGGTCTGAAGCGACCTTCTGGGGCCTGGTTGCTGAAGTTTCCCTGGTACTTGGGGCAATGCCTGGCACAGAGCAGGCCCTCGGCCAGCCCCTGCTGAATGACTTGTGGCTGGCCATTCAGGAAATGGTGCTTCCGCCGATTTCCGATTTCCGGGGATGACAGTAATGTCAGCCAGTGTTTACTGAGTGTGCGTTATGTGCAGGGGGCGGTTCTACACCAGTTGTTCTAAGCCTTATTCTCAGTGCTGTTCTAAGCCAGCGATTTTGCCTCAGGGGACTGTGGCAATGTGTGGAGACATGTTTGGGTGTCACGGCTGGGGGAGGGGGTGGCATCTCGTGGCTGGAGGCCAGGGCTGCTGCTCAAGGATCTGCAGTGCAGAGGCACCACCTGCTGCCACCCCGTTCAGCACACACACAGTGATCTGCCCCAATGTCAGACGTGTCCAGGTTGAGACGCCCGGCACTCAACCAAGGCTGAGCTGCTGTGGTGTCTGGGCGTGGGGGGGTGGGGGGGGAGGGTTCTCGGTGATGGAGAGGAAGCTGCAACTGGGGTTCCTGTTCGCAGGTGTGATAATGACAATGACCACAGCGCCTACCGTGTGCTGAACGCTTTCTGCGTGCCAGGCCCTGTGCTGAGCACGGGCGACATGGGAGGAAACTGAGGGAATTGTTCAACGTTGCACAGCCAGGTGGACGGTGTGAGCCCTGTGCATTGCCCACTGACGCCCCCTCCCCCCCGCCGCAGGATTATGGCGCAGCCCTGCGGGGCCTGTGTGAGGACGCCCTGGAAGGCCTGCTCTACCTGCTTCTCTTCTCCCTCCTGTCTGCGGGGGCCCTGGCCACCGCCCTCTGCAGCCTGCCCCGCGCCTGGGCCCTCTTCCCACCCAGGTCAGGAGGGGAGGGGGGCAGGGTCTTGGAGGAGGGGATGGGGGAGAACCATTGAGCCACTGTTCGGGGGCAGCCTCCTGATGGACCCCCATCCTGTTTCTCTGCCACTCCCCCCCTTGCACCCCAGTGACGACTATGATGACACAGATGATGACGACCCTTTCAACCCTCAGGTATTGGACCCCTGGGTCTGAGTGGGGAGGGGCTGGGGGTCTGGATCCTGGGTCTGAGGGGGGAGGGGCTGGGGGCCTGGATCCTGGGTCTGAGGGAGGAGGGGCTGGGGGCCTGGACCCCTGGGTCTGAGGGAGGAGGGGCTGGGGGTCCAATACACCTGACCACATGGCATCCTCTTCCAAGACAGCTATATGCTGAGGGCCGGGGCCAACTCTAGAATCAGAGGGAGGAGGGCAACTCACGGTCTGAGGGAGGAGGGGCTGGGGGTCTGGACCCCTGGGTCTGAGGGAGGAGGGGCCGGGGGCCTGGACACCTGGGTCTGAGGGAGGAGGGGCCGGGGGTCTGGATCCTGGGTCTGAGTGGGGAGGGGCCAGGGGCCTGGACCCCTGGCTCTGAGGGAGGAGGGGCCGGGGGCCTGGACTCCTGGCTCTGAGGGGGGAGGGTCTGGGTCCTGGACCCCTAGGTCTGAGGGCCCACACTACAAAGCCAGATTCCCTAGTCATGCCCTCTCTCGCCCCACATCTCCCCGGCAGGAATCCAAGCGCTTCGTGCAGTGGCAGTCATCTATCTGAGCCCTTCCTCCATGCCAGACTGGAGCCTGTTCCCCATCTCCGGTGAGCATCTAGAGTGACACCCCCACTCCCAAAGCCAGCCTCTGCCCTCCCTCCTTCCCTCCCTATGGGCTCCGGGGCGGCCCTTCCACCTGCATCTGGTCCGATCTTTCCTTCTCTCTGCAGTTCCTTCCCCAGCTGCCGGAGAAGACCCCACTAACCCAGCCTCACTGGGCTCCCACCACTAACAATGCCCTGGCTACGGACACCTTAAACAGGACTGCCTTCCTGCCTGCCCTGCCCCCTCTATGTGTCCTTAGCCCTGGAAGTAAGCCGAGGGGGTAGGCCAGGGCCCTGAGCTGGCCGGGAGTGGGCAGACAGCCAGACCCACAGCCTCTCAGCCCTGAAGGGATGTGAGTGCCGCCGCCCTACCACACCCCAGTGGGCTCAGGGCCCCTGATCTCCACTTGCGGCACCAACTTGGGAAAGGGTTGATTTGAAATAAAAGGGACGACTTTATTTTACAAGCAGCTGGGTCCTTTTTTCTCCCCTCCACCAATCTGGCCTTGTGGTTGCGGGGGTGGAGATTCTCTTCACCTCTGCTCTCGCCCTGCCTCCTGGCCGCCTGTCCAGGCTCTGCAGCAGTTCCAAAGGGATTGTTCTTTAAAAAAAAAAAAAATCCCCCCACCCCTGATCTAAAAGCAGCACACATGTCTTGACGCAGGAAGAGACGCATATCCCTGGAACAGAAGAGACAGCCTAGAAATAGATCTCCGTGTGTGTGTACATATGACAGAAGACAGATTTCAAGTCAGGGTGAAAAGGACTGGTTTCGAAGGAATGCTGACATGATTAGCTCTCCAGCTGGAAGAAAACAGTCTACATACTATAATATGGGTGGAAAACCTAAATGTAGACAAGTAAAGGGGCAGAAGTATTTCAAGGGAAAAGAGGAGACTTTTGTATATTGTATATCTCGGTTGGAGGGGGAGGATTTTCAGCAAGGTATCCTGAAGACGGAAAGGAAGAGATAACTTATTTGACAACTTGTGGAGTGAAAAAACTACCGTAAAGTCAAGAGGCAAATTGACAGTCTGGGGAAAATAGTTTGTTTTTCTAACAACATACATGGCAAAGAAATAGATAATTCTTAACACATACGTATAATCTGCAAAGCTTCCACAAACCATGAAAAAGATGACCCAACTTGAAAATAAGCAACTAAGATGAACATTCAGTGAAGTGAAAATCCCAACGCCAGTGAACAGACTAAAGGGCATTCAAACTCTAATAATTAGGAAGTGCACTGTGAAACAAGCAGAAACTTTGTTTTCACCACCCAGGGAAAAAGAATTATTATAAAATTAAAATGATAAGATTATCATAAAAGGAAAGGAGGGCTCACGTCCCGTGCTGGCAAGGATGTGCCGGAACAGCTCATGCACCACTCCTGAGGCTATGAGCTGCAGTCCAATGAAAAAAATAGTCTGCTCACATGTGATAGACCCTTTGACCCGACAGTCCTACTTTTGGGAATCCATTTATGGAAGTAAAGTAGAGACACGTAAGGCTGTATTTTAGGCGCTGTTTGCTGCAACGATACTTTGATCAGCTGAACTCTGGAAACTAAAGTCCATAGAAGGAGGACGAGCCCAGTTAACCACTGTACATCAGGGGTCTCGGAATGTGACAGCTCTTGGCTGGGTTTGGAATCTTGGGAGAAAGCCTGAGAGAGGAGAGATTTGAGGTGGGAGTGACAGACAATGGCTGCAGAGTGGGCAAACGCAGAGCAGGATCCCTGTGGTTAAGAGCCCAGGCCTGCCCTTGACCACCAGGTGGATGTGGGTCGTCACTCGACTAGCTGGACCTCAGCTGTGTCATCCATCAGAAGGGTGTCAAAGACAGCTCCCCAGTCCCTCCTCAGCAATTCCAAAATCCAAAGAGCTCTATTAGACCAAAAGTCTTCCCTGAACTCACTGGGCAGCAAAGCCCAACCTGGCACGAGGTTACTTACAGACTATTTCCCTGCCTGGTGTGAATGTCCATCTATTTCTCTACAGAAACACTGATGGGGTTACTTCCAAATGCTGGGCAGGGTACTGAGGGTACCGTGTCCTCTGTGGAATATACATCACGTTCTCTCTTGAAAGTCTGAAAAATCCTGAATCCCCAAACACGTAAACAGCCCCAAGGGTTTCAGGTCAGGGCTTGTTGGCCCAGAGTGCCAGATGTCAGGTGTCCAGTGGGGGCCTGCCGTAGGGGATAGCTCCATGCTTGCTAATCATTTCCATCTTGTACACTGAAAGGAATGTTCAAGGAAGCCTTCGATGTGTGGGCCTGAAGCTGGGAGAGAGAAATGGATCACAGTTTCCAGAGAGGGACACGGGGGGCCACCCTCATGGACTCACTAATTCTCATGACTGGGTGAGCTGTCTGGTCCTGGGGTTGGCCCATCTGCACTTCTGGCCGCTTTGCTCTCAAATACTGCCCTCTAGTGACTCTGAGTCTGTGTCCGGAAGCTGGTGTAGGATTCTCACAAAGTACCCTGAGATTCAGGCTGCCTGATTTCCTGCCAAGGGGCCTGGGAGTGATCTTTAATCAGGAGGCCCTAACCAAGAAATAAAAGACCATTTTGGCCTAACCTTTACAAAAGGGAAATCGATTTTCATTTTTAAATGACACATATGAGGACTTCCACTTCTGAACAAGATGGAGCAACAGGAACTGGATTTGCTGTCCTTCCTGAAACGACCAAAATGCCAGACAGAATATGTGAAACGACGGTGCTCAAGACTTGACATCAGGCAAAGAGGGAGGAGGGAGAGTGATCCCTGAGAATTGGAAAACACCTAGGTGACCCCTGAAATTGCCACAGCCTATGAGTTTCTGACCACAGGGCAGGGGACCTCCCTAAGGCCCCACCTAAAAGTGCTCTAAAAAATGAAGTCTATTTTTTAAAAGTGCTCAAGCCAAAAGAAGGCAGAAAAAGAGGAAAAGGGGAAACAAAGAAAGATGGGACAAACGGAAACCAAATAGCAAGACGATAGATTTAAATGTAACCTTACCAGTGATCACATTACAATAGTTATAAACACCTCTTTTAAAAGGCAGAGATTGTACGCTTGGGTGAAAAACAAAGATCGAACTATACGCTATGTAAAATAAACACACCTTAAATATAAGAGCTAGAAGTAAAGGGATGCTAAACGCAATGGGGTAGCCTGGATTGGGCTCTGGAACATGAAGGAGAAAGGCACATAAAGGGGAAAGTGGTGAAATTCAAATAAGGTCTGCAGTTAACAGTAGTGTGCCAGTGTTGGTGTCTTAGTTTTAACAAACATACTACAGCATTGGGGGAAACTGGGTGTAAGGTAGGCAGGACTTTGAATTATCTTTGCAACATTTTTGTAAGCCTAAAATTACTCTAAAACAAAAAGTTTAATTAAAAAACAAGTAAAAGGATGGAAAAAAAGATCAACTGTGCTAACAGTAACAAAATGACACGCAGTTATCTACAGAAAAGTTTTTAATAACAGAAAATGGGAAGGAAATCGCCGCATCTTGAATACCACCTGCCATAACTACAGTGACCGGCGCGTGAACTGGACCGGATAATTTTCTCAATCAGAGCCCTGGGTGGAAACAGCTGGCATACTCAAAAGATTAGTTGCAAGGAGTTCAAAGAAGGGCCTTTTTAACTTGGGATGGTCCCAATTCCTCAGCCGGACATCGATGGCCTTTCAGGATCTGCTACCTGCCCACCTCCACAGATCTATCTCTTGACGCCAGGACCCCGCATACTTCTGTTCTGCCACAGCCACCTGACCCCCGCCGTCTCCCCAAGGTACGCTCGTTTCCCGCCTCTGTGTGTTAGTACACGCCATTCCCTCTGCCAGGTACGCCATTCCAGTTTTATTTACTAGGGAAGCTCCCCTTTCCGGCTGGAGGCTGTTCTCATGTTCTCTTGCCTTCTTTGGGTCCATCATTCTCTTCCCTCGTCTTCCACATCACTACACGATGGGTAGTCTTAGAACTCTCATCACACCAATTTGTGTCTAGGAATAGTAATGGCTAGCACCAACTGAACCTAAACAAGGATGCGTGGAAGGGCGCGGAACCTGCGAACGAGGCCGCGCGTGTCCCCTCGGGACCACCGTCCCCACCCCGGCTTCCGGCTTGCATTAAGAACGCCCACCGAGTGGTTGCGTAGGCGGAAGGGGGGGGCTCAAATCACGCTCGTGGCGTCTATTGGCTGCCTGGGGACGAGGGAGGCGGGGCGAGGCGTTCGCGTGACGTCAAGACGCCACGATCCGGGCGTCGAAGCCCAAGGAAGACAAGAGCCAGCCGGGTGGGGAGCAGTCTCGCGGCCGTGTTGCTATCATTTGGAGCCGCCGCTGACAAGTCCCAGGGGCATACGGACGAGGTGGGTGTACCGAGCGGCGGCGGGCGGGCGGGCGCAGGCGGCGTTTCCATTTGGCCTTACGCCCCGCGGGCCCCGAGGCCTCGGCGGCGGTCGCACCAACGGACGCCGCGCGCGAGCGACGACAGGGTGTGGAGGAGCCCGGGCTACTGGGCCTGCGCAAGAGTTGTGGGGAAGTGCGGCTGCGCACCCTGGCGCCTGCGCCGTCGGCCTCTGCACCCGCGCGCTCGGAATTCTTGGGCCCAGAGCACCCCTCTCTTCAACCCCAGTTGACCCGGCAGTTCCTTCGGGAGGACCACGTTGACCCTGGCGACGGGCGGCCGTTGCGCTGTCTTCTTCCCCCCCCCCACCCGGGGACGTGGTGCGCACGCGCGGCTTGGCCGGGGCGGTGGCTCCGGGGCCAGTGGCGAGGATCCAGGCGAGCTCTTCCCCCACCCGGAGCCCTCTTGTGCCTTCCCCGGGCCTGCGGGACGGCCAGGTGCCCCCTTGCCTCCGGTTCTCGCCCCAGCCCAGAAACCTCCTCCTTCCAGGCTCCCCCAGACCTTACGCCCACTTTTCTTCCTGTCCCGGGGCTCCACCCACTATCCCCACTCGTGATCCCACCACCTCCCTGCCCCCAACCCTTCCGCCCAGTTCCGTTCGGTCTCTTTTTTATGGCTTGTCTTCTCTAGGTTTTTTTTTCAAGTTCCAGACTCCTGTTCTTACATCTCCACTTCTTGTAGGATTTTCGGGTTCTCCAGCGGGACTCGCCTTTGAGCACCCCCATACTTCTCAGTTCCTCCCTCAAGTCTAGGCCCCCCAATTCTTGCCCTCAGGACATGCCTTCATGTTCTTGCCGTCCTGTCCTCTCCACCCCACTCCAAGTCCCTAAAGATGTTTTGGAGCTCTTTGGGCGTCCCCAAAGCTTTCTCACCAGACCCCCAGCCAAGGGGCTCGCCTCTTCTTTTCTCCCAGGTCTACTCCTGCTTCTAGGAACCTCCCGTGTACGGTTTTCTCTATCCTTAGGGGCCGTCTTTTAAGAGCTTTTTAAGAACTCATTTCACTCCTGGGGCTCCTCTCTGGCACCCCAGCTTCTTCCTGCTCCAGGAGTAGCTTCCAGAAACGGGC